GTAACGTTTAAAAAACAGAGTTAACAGCCTTCTTAAGCAAAGCAAAGAATGTGGTGAGGATGTATTGGATCAAATTGACACCCTTAGAAAGATCCCCATGGAGAAAACAAATTATTCACATCGGACTGCTTAATTAGGCCGGAGCGTATACTTTCATTATAACATTCACTTTTTCTTTGCTACGTGTGCTTATTTTAGCTCACTTTTTCTTTGCTACCTCAATATCATTATTTTTTTTTTTTTTTTCATATTTCAAAACCTAGAAAATATCACACTTCACTTTCTTTTAATTTTTAAAGTAAAATTAAAATACAATTGAATAAATAAATGAAATTAATAAAAAAAAAATCTTAATAAACAAAGCTAATAAAAATGAAACTAATACATTGGAATAATTAAAACAAAGTTATAATATTTTTGTCAATACGAATCATTGATCCTTTTATTTCCTTTCTTTTTAATTGTAAAATCTTTTATATAATCAAAATTAATGTAATATGTATCTGTGGTTAGAATATTATGGTATTTAAAACAATGTAAAAGATATATTTTGAATATATAATAAAATAAAGTTCTAATGTTGTAAATTAGTTTAAACTAGTACGTGATCCCAGGCTTCGTCCAAGACTTCTTTTTTCTTAAAAAAAAAAAACCTGAAAATCGTTTAAAACAACAAAAATTAAAAACAAAAATCATAAGTAAATGATTTCTTAATAAGTGAGCAAAATGTATGTAACTTATGAGTTATGATAAACTAAATAAACAAGGGTGCATAATAGCAAAACCCATATAAGGACCAAAAGTGCTAAACCTAACTCTGAAATTATTTAGTCCTCGCAATATGTAACTTAACGTATTCGCTTACTAGTTAGTTAAAGATAACTAGAACTCCTAAAAACACAAAGCAAACAGCATTCGAGCATTGAGTAAACATAATCAAGCATATCCTAATCAGGCCATCATATCACTGATTAATTTGTACTAGCATGCAGTTCATAAAGCTGATATCCATATAACAGGCACATAAGACATCCTTCCTAAATCCTTAACCCTAATCTAGCATGCAGTTCTCATAAACATATCATAACATAAACTTGTATGGGTAATTTGGGAGTACTTACTTGAGCTCGGCTGATTGCATGCACCACACCCTTTTCTCTTTTCAAAGTTCTTTTCTCTTTTCAAAATTCTTTTCTTTTTTTCAAAGTTCTTTTTATAAAAATGAGTTTTCTTTTGAAAATTTCCATACCAAGTCCTCAGTTTGAGTCCAAATACACCCGAGAGTGCGCCTGAATCCCTCAAACCAAGGCTCTGATACCAACTTGAAACATCCCAAAAATACGGTCCAAAAATTTCGTTTTAAATCATAAATAAAAACAATAAGTATCATTCATTATATAAAAATCATAAATCGTGTACCTCATAAACATTATAAACAACTGTCAATATATCAAATCATATGTCAAACATCAGAGTAAATCATCCCAGGCTAAAAGTTGTGGTGTGTGCCATGCAGTCATCCTGAGCTCTTTCCCTTGCTAGCGGAAGTACCTGAAACCAAAACTGAAAACTGTAAGCACGAAGCTTAGTGAGTCTCCCCAAAATACCACATACCATACACATAATCACATAATAGCATACATTGGGCCTTGCCCACTACCTCGGGTCCCGCCCGGCTTTGGACGAATCCGGCATCGGGCCCCGCCCGACATCGGACCGAAGTCTGGTATACATATAACATATCAACAAGCATATAACATAAACATATAAACATTCCTCGGGCTTTCCCCAACATCGGATCAAAGCTCAGAACATACAACGCATAACATATAAGCTAAACATTCCTCGCCCTTGCCCCGTCATCGGACCGAAGCCCAGAACATATAAACATACACATGCAAGAATCACGAAGACATCAAGCATACGTTCATTCCTCGGGCTTGCCCCGGCATCGGACAGAAGTCCGAAAACATATAATCTACATCAGGCTAAACCCGATATCGGACCTAAGTCCGTCATATGCTAACATGTTACACCCCCAAACCGGAACGGCGGAAACGTTCGGGGGCGGAGGACGTCATGTACAGTATCACAACAATTTAATAATAGTAATCAAAGTAACAACAACCATTGCATTGATAATATAGTGTTTACATTGTGTTTGCAACATTATTTGTATAACATCAAAAAGTATAGCAAAAGCTATAGACGAGACACCATGAATGCTCCGTCTTCTCAAAAACCTGTAGTGTACCTGTCTACTGGTTCCCTGAGAATACAAGTGATTTGAAAGTGTATCAACATTTAAGTTGGTGAGTTCATAAGTATGTTTTTGTGATGGAAAGCTTGTCATTGTTCCTTGAAAAACGTTAGTATGTTCCTCCAGAAAATCCAATATTTTCTTTAGTAAATGAAATGTAGTCTTAGGCCTTAAGACCAAAATGTATGTTTGTTACTGAACTCTGAAATAGTATACTGTAGTCTTATTAATAAATAAGACTATATCATGAATGTTTCCCTAAATTGTATGTTGTACTGTATTAAGGAAATAGTATATTGTACTGTATTTGTATGAAAACCCTTTGTATGAATGTGCCTGGAATCCACCAGCTGTACTGTAAAATAGTGTATTGTAATGTAGTTCTATTATAAAAATAAAACCATTGAAGTAGTGTAAATCCTGTAAATAATGTTTTAGTTGATACTATTGCGAGTTTCATATAACCATGCTAAAATGACTAGTGGCCTCTACGACGTTCTTCAGGCGTCGGAATGTTATGACATTTGTCACTCCAGGCCTGCCGGCCTAGCTGTTGCAAACAACTCAGGTGCGAGATTGTCAGTCCCGTATAGATCTATACACAAATTCACGCTCTCCCTCCAGGAGACTCTGGTTATAATTTATAGGACTTGAACCTCTACTCTGATGGGTACAACGAAGTAGTGCCTCACAACCCTGTATTAACTAGTTTACGTGTAATGTTATAGTGTTCTCTTGTACTTGAAACTATATGTATTACGTTGTTGTAGTGTACTTTGTAATGTAAAATAATTATACTTAAATAATTATTTTAGTAGTGTATCCTTGAATTAGTGAAATAGAGTAGTGTTCCATAAACTATACCTATTATAATTTATATACTTGTTTCTATATAGTGTTCTTGAGCTTGTAAAATAGTGTAGTATTTCTTAAACTATACCTATTATAGTTTAAAAGTATGTTCTTGTATTGTTTCTTGAACTTAGTAAAGTAGTGTAGTGATTCACAAATTATACCTATTATAGTTTAAATGTATGCTCTGTAATGAACTGAAAACCTTTGCAATTTAACAGTGTGTATAAAGCGGTAGTAAGAGAATTGTGAAAAAAAATATCCTTTTGCTCAACATGTTACAAAAGGGTTAACAATATAATGAATTATATTTTATATTCATATATATTCACAACATATATAATTAAGAGTGAAAAAACAGTCGAATAAGTAATTCTATCCTAAACCCACAACCAGACAAGGAACATGATTTAGGGCGGAATTGCAAATTCTAAGTTTGTTGAACCTTATTTATATATATAAATATATTTTGATAAAATGTAACAATAATTCAGTTTGAAACAATTGCAAATGGTTAGAAACGGTTTGAAATCGTTTGAATGTTAACACAAGAGTCCTTGTGTTTTACTTGTATCCCCCCCCCCCCTAAAAACATTGAAAAATAGTGAAAACGTAGGGGTATGAATTCACCTCGAATGTAAGTTCGTGTTTGGATGCGAAGTGGTAGCGATGATCCTCGGGTTAGAACCCGCGTGCGTAGTCGTGTCCTAATAATAATTACACACGATATCGTATTTAAATTAATAAGATATTAATTTAAATAAATTAAATAATAAATTAAGTGTTAGACAACACTTAATTATGTAAGAAATACTTACAAAAAGTGTTAGGAATTAATTGAGGGGGTGTTTCTTGGCGTTTTCGGTGTTCCTGGGGTTTTCGGTGGGATACGAATATTTGCTGGTGTTCTTGGTGTTCTTGAGGAAACTTGAAGATTTGAAGATCTTGGTGTTCTTGGTGGAATTATGAAGATCTGGGCAATATTTTATGAAGATATGAAGGTTTTTGGATGATACTTGAGAGCAAATTGAAGGTGTTTACGGTTTGAAAAGTGAGAAATGAATTGAGTTTGCGGCTAAACACTTATATATAGGATTGTGTTTGCGGTTCATAATGGGGCAAGGCCTTGAGTTTTCGGTCCCTTAATGGGCTTTACATTGTGTTTTTGGCCACACATAGACCGAAAATCCCCTTGATCTTTATTTCAAAACCGTAAACCCTTTTGCTTTAATTTCTTGGACCGCAAACCCAAAGATCCTTGGATCTTTGGACCGAAAACTCATATATGGGTTATTATATGGTTTAAACTTTAAACTTTTAATTTATGTTGACATATATTAGCTTAAATCAACTTAGGTTTTAAACCATACTTAGTTACTAGCTTATAAACATGCCTCTAAGGCTATAGATGATACAATGCAACTAGGATTGAAATGTGGTTTCACTTGTACTAGGTTAGGGTTTAGACTTTGTCGGGTCTAAAATTTTCCAGTTGTGACATAACATACATAAACGGGTTGGCATTGGTGCCTTCGACCCGTTCCTACTGGAGGAAAACTCACCTCACAAGCTGGCTGTTGAATCTCTCGGTAAGGAAATCTCTATCGGCTGCTTCCATGACTCCCCAGCTAACATCATCACAATAACACTTAATCAATATCCAAAATCTTTCTTAGGGTAAAATGACTACTTTACCTCTGGTCAAAGTCAACATTCTGGTCAAAGTCAACATTCTGGTCAAAGTCAACGTTCGGGTTTGACTCAACTCACCGAGTTGACCCATCAACTCGTCGAGTTCTATAAATCAGGAATCTTGAAATCGCGA